ATTGACCAATGGGTGTTTTAACGGCCCCCATTAATGGTTGGTGGGTCGCGGGCCCCCCCCCCCCGGGGGGTGGCGGAGGGGGTGGGAGGAAATGGAATTCAATTCGTGTCGCTTGAGAGATAACATTCTAGGTGAATACTATTATGAAGGGGGGTAAAATTTCATTTGTGCATATGCCGCATACGTGAGCAAAAAAAAAAATAAATCTCACGTTGGCTCTTATTTCACCTGTCACAGATACACGCAGCACAGTTTACATTTTAGTTACTAGCTATAAAGCCAGCATGGTCAACATTCAAAGTTATCATTCCGTCAGGTTTCTTCCATTCTCAACAAATTAAAAGCTTTCATTCTGTCAGGTTTGTTCCCATTTCAACAAATTCAGAGTTATCATTGAATTCAGGTGTGTTCCCATTAAAAAAAAATTGAGAGTTATCATTCCATTCAGGTTTGTTCCCATTTTAAAAAAAATCAGATTTATCATTGAATTCAGGTTTATTCCCATTTTAAAAAAATCAGATTTATCATTGAATTCAGGTTTGTTCCCATTAAAAAAAAATCAGATTTATCATTGAATTCAGGTTTGTTCCCATTTCAACAAATTCAGAGTTATCATAAAATTCAGGTGTGTTCCCATTTCAAAAAATTCAGAATTATCCATTCCATTCAGGTTTGTTCCTATTTCAACAAATTCAGAGTTATCATTGAATTCAGGTTTGTTCCCATTTCAACAATTTCAGATTTATACTTTAATTCATGTTCGTTCCCATTTCAACAAATTCAGAGTTATCATTAAATTCAGGTTTGTTCCCATTTCAAAAAATTCAGAGTTATCATTGAATTCAGGTTTGTTCCCATTTCAACAAATTCAGAGTTATCATTTAATTCATGTTCGTTCCCATTTCAACAAATTCAGAGTTATCATTAAATTCAGGTTTGTTCCCATTTCAACAAATTCAGAGTTATCATTGAATTCAGGTTTGTTCCCATTTCAACAAATTCAGAGTTATCATTTAATTCATGTTCGTTCCCATTTCAACAAATTCAGAGTTATCATTAAATTCAGATTTGTTCCCATTTCAACAAATTCAGAGTTATCATTCCAGTCAGGTTTGATGTTAGTGTTTGATGTTTTTTTAAATTCATAGCTCAATGGAACGTCCCAAGAATCTCTTCCAATACTCTCGCTGTGCCTTCAATCGACTCTTACGATCTGGGTATCTGCGTCTTCATGTGAGCGGAGCTTTTTAAAACTAAGACTTATTAATTACTTGTCAAGAAATATTTACGATCCATTATGGGACAGTCAAGGCTTTCTAATCTAGCTCTTTTATCAATTAAAGGGGATACTGTTGAGGAAATTGACTTCGATCAAGGGATTGACAAATTTGCAGATTTCAAGACCATGGAAAGACAATTTTAAATAAATTAAATATAATGTAAAACAAATAAAATAAATATAACTTAACATTGTTACAGTTATTAAACACATTCACCCCCCTGACCCTGAATTAATTTGTATTTTTTCTCTTTCATAGTTATACTTTTAAAATTGTTTTAACAAGAAGAAATCTATCGTGGAAAACGGGGGAGGGTGGGGTGACACCAAGAGTTTACGGCACCGGGGGACACCATCCCCAGCTACGCCACTGAGGATGTTTACCACTTCGAAAGGATAAGCGAATGCATTGCTATATCGAAAAAAACAACAACTTTTGTAAGAACAAAAGGAAAAGATGTTTAAAAAAAAAAAAAAGTATCCCGACCGGAAATCAAATCCAGTTTAAAACGTGTGGACTGGATGCAATCAGAAATCAAAACTGTGTGTGATGGGAAGGGACACGTGCATGTAATGAGATACTTGATAGACGCGTACAAGTAATGCGATGCTTGATACCGAGGAAAGCCGACACCGCATCACGTGAACTTGACGGAACCATTAAATAAAAATAGATAAAAAATAAATAAATAAGGTTGAATTTGAATCACGACTTTACTTTGTCGCGTCCCTATTGTTAAATCCAGCATTGGTGAAATGTGTGATGTCTGTGCTGTTTGTGATGTGTGTGATGTTTGTGATTTTTGTGATGTGTGTGTTGTTTGTAATGTGTGTGATGTTTGTGATGTTTGTAATGTGTGTAATGTGTATGATGTTTGTGATGTTTGTAATGTGTGTGATTTATGTGATGTGTGTGATGTTTGTGGTGTTTGAAATGTGTGTAAAGTGTGTGATGTTTGTGATGTTTGTAATGTGTGTGATGTTTGTAATGTGTGTGATTTGTGTGATGTGTGTGATGTTTGTGGTATTTGAAATGTCTGTCATGTTTATGATGTGTGTGATTTTTGTCAAGCACTATAAAATCCCCTCTACGGCAACAGCAGATTGTATGTTACACTGCAGCGGTAATGGCGGTCAAACCTATACAGAAATTCATTGGACATGGTCAGTCATCATAAATGCAGTCGGCCGATGTCGAGTCTGCCCCTAAATGGCGTGAATAGGGGCGTCAAGTAAGTGCGAGCCGCACCAGGGGTTACATCCCCCATGGGGGGGGGGGGATGACTCCAAATGGAAAATGCAAATTGAACAGAGCTCGTTTGAATTGGTTTCCCAGCATACTTTGGTTAATTACAATTATTTGTCATCCGCCCTTTTCACGAGCATGTCCGTTGATATTACCCCTCCTCCAACCCAGCAAAATCATTTTTGACAGTTTTTTTTTTTGGACAGGGTCCATCTCTCATGTACATGTATCACTGCTGGTCTTATTGTGTCGGCAAATACACATGTGTTTTTCTTGAGAGGGTTATGCTTCCACTTATTGTTACACCCTTTTATTGCATGCCTTTTTTTTTTTTGGGGGTGGGGGGGGTGTTTTCCATGGTGAACATTTTTTCCAGCTCGTATTTCTCGAGTTGACCAACATCCCAGATTAGACAGCTGAAATGTCGTACTCCAGCCCGTATTTCTCGAGGTGACCAACATCCTAGACAGCTGAAATGTCATAATCCAGCCCGTATTTCTTGAGGTGACCAACATCCCAGATTAGACAGCTGAAATGTCATACTCCAGCCCGTATTTCTCGAGGTGACCAACATCCTAGATTAGACAGCTGAAATGTCATACTCCAGCCCGTATTTCTCGAGGTGACCAACATCCTAGACAGAAATGTCGTACTCCAGCCCGTATTTCTCGAGGTCACTGACATCCTAGACAGCTGAAATGTCGTACTCCAGCCCGTATTTCTCGAGGTCACCGACATCCTAGACAGCTGAAATGTCGTACTCCAGCCCGTATTTCTCGAGGTCACCGACATCCTAGACAGCTGAAATGTCGTACTCCAGCCCGTATTTCCCGAGGTCACCGACATCCTAGACAGCTGAAATGTCGTACTCCAGCCCGTATTTCCCGAGGTCACCAACATCCTAGACAGCTGAAATGTCGTACTCCAGCCCGTATTTCCCGAGGTCACCAACATCCTATAGAGAGCTGAAATGTCGTACTCCATCCCGTATTTCCCGAGGTCACCAACATCCTAGACAGCTGAAATGTCGTACATAAGCTTAGTCTCGCGGAACAATTGTATTCATTAAGTTTTTCTTAATTTTTTTGGTTACAACACACTAAAATTTCAAAGCAGACAATGAAATATTTCATACATCAAACTCATACCGAAGAGAGACAGCCCTCAAAACAGATTTGGTTGCATTATCATAAAAGCATTTGTTTCCCTTCCCACCCCCACCCCAAGCCCATAAAGTTGTCGAAGGGCATTGGGAAAAAAAAAAGTGTTATTATGAAAAGTACCTGATAGAGTTTAAATTGAAACAACACTTCTTTACATCTTCATCTGATGACATAAAAGTCAAAGTGGGCAAACAAACTTTAAAAAAAATTACTTGTGCTAGTTCAATTAGGCTTATAAGAAGTTGCCTACTGCTATCTTTCACTTATTGCTAGTTATTAGTTTTATAGGCTCGTTTACTGTTACACCTCCATGTTTAAATGAATTTTATAAACTTTCTGAAAAGTGTTTGTGTGTGTGTGTATGTGTGAGAATCTCTGTGATAAGAAATGTCAGACATTTCAGCACATTTCTTTAGCTGCCCAAGGATACTACTTATAAGCTAAGTGCTATTTTTTATTTTTATTCTTATACCGTTTTTTTTCCGTTGTTTTGTTCGCTGACGAAGGCTCTCTGCCGATACGTTCGTTGTTGTGTTGCGTTCCTTTTATTCAGGTTTAACCCTACTTTGTTTTACTCATTTTAGATCGAGAAACCCTACTAAGATTACTGAGAACACACCTAGAACCAGTGTTTCTTTCAGACATTTCAGATTTTTGGTTAGAGGGCAGTGCCACAGGCGTAGCTAAGGGTAGCAGATGGGACGTAATTCCCCAGGGCGCAGACTAGTGGGGCACCAAAATGAGCTTTGATGGTATTAAATGGTTGAACATAATTAGTTCCAGAGTTGAGGGGGGGGGGGCTAAAAAATGAATCATTTCCCCTGACGCCAAAGACTGTAGTTACGCCCCTACCAGCAGCGTAGAAAGGGGAGGATGAGGTTTTTCACTCAAGTGTCCACCTTTCTTTATAAGGATGTGCGGCATATTAATTGACATGTGCAGAGTTTTTATATTGATAGGAAGAGTGGTTAAAAAAATATTTGGCCGACCATGGCGGCACTAATACTATCTACGCCACTATCTATGGTCACAAAATTAGTGATTATTTTCGGTTACCAGAAATTTGATCGACGGTAAATTGATCGACGGTAATTTGATCGAACGGAAATTTGGTCGAATCATTTTTTCAGTTCGTAAGTTAAAATTTTCGTAAAATTTCTTTTAAAACGCACGATGTTTTATAGTAAAACAAAATTATGCGTTCAAAAAGAAATTTGAAGCAAAATTTTAGCGTAAAAACTGAAGAAAAAAAAAGAAAAAAAGATTCGACCAAATTTCCGTTTGATCAAATTACCGTCGATCAATTAAACGTCGACGAAATTTCTTTTTGATCAAATTTCTGGATACGATTATTTTCATCGGGATGTAAGGCAAATCGAGGGAACAGATGAATCTTGCTCTTTTTTTATATCAATAAAAGCAAGACAAAGATCACGAAGTTGAACTCAGCCAACCAAGAGCATATCTCTCAGGAAGGAAATGCACTGGAAGAAGTGGAGGCCTTCACATATTTAGGCAGCACCATTGACATGAATGGTGGACCCAAAGTGGATATCAGGGCTAGAATTGGAAAGGCTAGGTCAGCATTTGTGCTATTAAAAATACCTAGCAAGAACTATTATTAAAATTTTAGACCTTTATTGTGATATAAAGATAAATTAATACAATGTTATTAAAGCCTTTAAAGTAGCATAAAAATAAATGAATAAAAATTCCGATATGTGCGAACAACAATTAAGTAAGTTTTCAGCATATAATCTGGAGCGGCCAATGCGATATTTAAAATCGAATACTCTACGCCTTTAACAAGATTAGCCTTAAATTTGTGGATAATCAGATATATCACTAGGGATATTCCTTAAATGCACTAATTGTAATTGGTTAAAGGCATGAAAACAATTCTTTTTAAAACTGTTTTAAAAAGACGATTTAGATTTAATCTTTTTTTTTATTAAAAAAAATATAATCGTTAGGCTATATTATTTAATATTGTTCTCCCCCCCCAAGATATGCCTGAAAGAAACACTACCTAGAACTCAAGTCACTATCACTATGACTATGCACTAGGACAAGGAAAAAAGTTTATTTTCGTTGTTTGCCTGTATAACTGTAGGGCCTATATTTAAAAACAATAAATAATCCTAGATATAATAATTTGTAAATTCATATTATTCATTTATGTTACATGGATTCAAAAGAGAGATATGTGGATCCAAAAGAGAGATGTGTGCGCTGCTTATAATTAAATTTAATTTGCATAACAAATAGGTCATATCACAATATCTTGATGATTTTAAATACATTTAATGTGCTAGTGACTTTTATCTCACAACTTTCTCAAGTGATACCTATATTTCGTTAGATGGAGTTACACAGGTGTTGGTAAAAAAAACAAAAACAAAAAAACAAAAAACAACAACACCAACCTTGTAACCAAGTCACCATGACGCTGTTTTACAGTCTTGCTTTCCCTAAAATCTTGTTTTCTTGAAATACATTTCATTAATAAACAGATAATTATGATGAGAAAATATGAGAGAAACTAAATAAATGTACTATAATTTTAAAATAAATACCTTTTTGATTCCATTCGGTCAAGTCTAGTCTATACTATCAGTCACTATCAGTTCAGTATCACTACTTAGACTACAGTTACAGACTACAGTGTTTCACTCAGCAGAGTCAGACTCAGAGTATCAGTCTATCTGCGTTTATTCTTTTAATCTTTACTTTGTCTTTACTTTGACTTTGTTGTTTTTTCGACCTGGATACAAAATGAAATTGTAGTGAAAGTTTTAAAAAAAAAATTATCAAAGTTCAAAGACAAAAGAAACTAGACCACTCATTTACTCATTTCTAATATTAATATGTTCATTATTTAAGTTTTTATTTTTTTGCTTATTCACATTATTGTCCCAGTATTTTGAGTTTGTACTTTGAAAATTTCTGGGTCTTACCGCATCCCTGGTTAAAAATCCTTATAATTGGCCAGTAAAAAACCACCAGTTCTAGTACCCCATCCCCTTCCTTTTAAACCTTAAAAAATTTAAGCTTAGGACACTTAGGAAATTAGATTTTAAGTTTTTGGCCTGCAGTTTCTAAAATATTTAGTCTACTCTACTTTTTGTCTGTTCTTAACAAATGTATGCTTACTCCTGTTTTATTTTTATTTATTTTTATACTTAACCAGCGGTAGGCAATCTTTCTTGTGAAGAGATCCAGTATTATAAATTATAGTACGAACAATATCTGATACAAATATATTTTTGGAGCTGCATATCATTAAAAAAAAAAAAAAGAGGATACAAAAAATGCTGCATCTATCTATCAGTTTAATATTTAAAGATCTGTGAGTTGTAGACCATTGTACTATTGAATCTGTAGTATTCCCACAGGCTAGGAGTATTAATGTAGAGTTTTTATTAGAACCTATGAGCTAGCAGCAAGCCTAGCATTTTTATTAAAACAAATTTTTATTTTAAAATTATAATTTACAAAAAAAGTTTTGCTGTTTGAATTTGTTTTCATTTTAAAGAAATCTTTGAAGTCTATGAATGGGTACTGGCTCATCCACTGCACAACAAAAAACAAGTGAGGTCTGTCATGGTGGTGACCATATTCAAGTCATGGAGGACACTAGTGCAGAGAGATTGGTCCCTGTTAATAACACTGTTAAACAAAATGGAGACATAACTTTAGAACTAAATAATAAAAGTTTTCACCACTCAGAAATTCCTGAACATGAACGGAAAACTTTTGGCAAGGATGGACTTGAAGCATCTCCAGAAGAGCAGATGTCGCAAGGTGACCGAAAAAACATGAAAGCAGTAAACGCTAATCCAGGTATGAGTACGTCAACTAAAAGTGTTTCTGTAAAATAGAAAGACATATCTGCATTGTAGATTTGGTTGAAAAAAAAAATTTAGTAGTTTTCTTTTATTTTACCCTGCCAATGAGTCCTGTTAATCATCAAAGTATTATTAGTGGTCCTCAAAATATTCAGTTTTTAAAATAAAAAAGACAAATTTCAGAATTTTTAATTTCTCAAATAAAATATTTTAGGAAGATAGGCAATGAAGTCCATGTGGCTGCTGATTACCATTTTGTAAAGAACACTGATGTTACAACATTATGTAAATTATCATAATTGTCTCCATCTTCAGGTGAAAAAATCTCCGAAGTGAATGCCTTCAATAAAAATGAAGACCAAACCAAGACAGACAAACTTTCAGATGAAGAAATTCAAATCAAGCGCCATTCATTCTTAGATAAAATTGAAGAGAAATTACTAGCACTTCAAAACATTTCACCCAGGAACCTATCTGAAGAAGGTGCACCATTCTCACACAGCTTTCGACAATGCATTCTTATTTTGGCTAAATCATATTTTAATTTTAAACTAGGAGAAGTGCCTTACAATGTGATTTATGAACACCGTGACCAAGTTGGTAAGGCTTTGATTAAACATGGAGCAGTCAAAACTATATGTGATGTGTTGTCTGATGCACTGAAACGCAGTGACTTTGTCAACAAAGATGGGAAACCCCTCAATGACTTGTGGTTGCCAATAAAGAACATGGCCTTAATTTTATTAAATTACAGTGACAATCAGAATGACATTAAGATGGCCATAACTGACCACAGTGAACTGTTACCATTGATGTTAAATTTTCTTACAGAAAATCACCTAGGTCACTTTGAAAATTCTTTGTCTGTAAGTATTCTTTTCTTGAGATTTGGAAATATCTCTGTTTAACCTATACATTTTTTCTTTTATAATTCAAAAGTATGTTCCGGTAAAAATGTACAAAGATAATTCCTTATATTTCACTGATTTATTTCAGAACATAAATTAAATTTTATTCATAAATTAGATAAACATGTGCATTATAAGTCAATAAAAAAACATCTTTGAAAATAAATACATTTTTATTTCATTACTATGGGGATGGAGATTTTGAATATTTATCATTCTTTCATATCATAAATTAGATGCTATTATTCTTTAAAATAAACAATTAGATATTTATGATTCTTTCAGATCATAGATTATATATTTTTATAATTCTTTCAGAACATAAAAAAAATATCTAATCTATGATCTGAAAGAATGATAAATATCAATTTTTTTATCGGATCAAATGATAAAAAATGATTTATGTATATAATTTTTAAAAAAGTATTGATATATATATATGTATATTATATATATATATACATAAATTGCTATCCTATTTCTATATATCTTTGAGCACTTGACACACTGTTTAATCTCTAGGATGAACTTGGCAAGATGTGCAGATTTTTCCTTTCCATTATTCATAACTGTGCAGCTTTGGAAGAAAATGTGCCGAAACTTAGGGAATTGAATGTTATACCAGTGAGGCTCATTTTTTTAAATCTTCCGCTGACTTGAATCTCTGAAGCAATATTGCTTACAGTGTTGTCATGTCAAATAATATGCAGTAACTATGGCAAGAATTTCTTAGATGAAGAAGTGCATGAGACAATTAAATGAAATTGAATGTATTTTAAGATATTTTATAATCATATGACTTCTAGGGAGTAAAGAAATTACAAATTTTTAGGTAAGACATTTAAGACAGTCTCCTCTAAAAATTATGAAATTTTCTGCCCATTAGGTCACCCTGAAATTTTTAGATTCCCATGCTGAAAATATTCGCCTGATCACCATATCAATATTGGCCGACCTGGTCAATGAAGAAGAAGCTGAACTTCTCAGAGCCAATGTGTCAATATTCAAGCTTCTTCTGAAAAAACTGGAAAATGCCCTTAAGGAGGAGAGCCACAAGGATGCCGGTTGGTCAGCGCATGAACTGACCAGAGGTGATTTTTGATTCATGTTTTATGTTATTATGAATGGATTTTTATTTTCATTCCTTGGATTTTTGTCCAGATGGAAACACTTTTAGCATACGGTTTTTAGTTTGTAGTTGTTCTATTGCAGTTCTAAAATAAGGTTATTAAGTAATAGTAATTCTATTTCAGTTATAAAATAAGGTTATTAGTTTGTAGTAATTCTATTGCAGTTATAAAAAAAAATTTACAACTGCTTAAGATTGTAGAGCAGTGCAAGAGAGTTTCAACATTCTGTCAAGTCATACTGAGCAAATTGTTCCTTTCAGTCCTATTAAATCCATATTTTTATATCCCATATAGCCGTGCGGCAGCTGGCAAGAAATGATGCCAACAAAGAAATTCTTGTCAATGAAGGTTGTCTGCCATCACTTGTGAAGCTCCTAGATGATGGAAATGATTCTGAGGTCAAAGGTGAGCATCTCTTCATCCATGTGGAACAAGTTCACTGCTTTAATTTTAAATCATATCATTCCCATCAGACAAGACAAGATATTGCCAATTCATTTAATGGACATTAATTATTTGAATAGAAGTTTTGCCTGCGCAAAGCCATGCCAATGAAAACGTTACATAAATCAGAACTAATATTATGAAAATCAAAGGAGTTCGTATGTTGATTTTTCCATTGACGTCACTACCCAAAACCTATTTGGTTGGAATCTCAATAAATTCCCATATAATGGTTTAAAACAAAATAAATTTATTCACCTTTTTTTTTATGTTGAATGGAATGGTGAATGTGCAAACTAACTCATTTATATACAGATGTTTTCACAAATTTCAACTCGGCACTTGAGACACAACATAGTGTTTTATTGTCCATTCTGTGTATTCATGTACGATGAAGGAATGGGGCCAGACATCCGCCCTTCAAGCACTGTTTCAACATTTAATTTATTGACATTTTAATAACCCAAACATCAGTTTTTACATTAAATATTTTGTTGACACAGATTGGAATAAAAATGGTCATTTGAGTCATAAATCTTGTTCATGTCATTTACTAGGACTATACAATCCAAACTGCTCTATTGACTATATAATCCAAACTGCTCTATTGACTATATAATCCAAACTGCTCTATTGACTATATAATCCAAACTGCTCTATTGACTATTCAATCCAAACTGCTCTGTGACTATACAATCCAAACTGCTCTATTGACTATATAATCCAAACTGCTCTGTGACTATACAATCCAAACTGCTCTATTGACTATACAATCCAAACTGCTTTGTGACTATACAATCCAAACTGCTCTGGTGACCATACAATCCAAACTGCTCTGGTGACCATACAATCCAAACTGCTCTATTGACAATACAATCCAAGCTGTTCTTCTGCATATACACATTTGCATTGCATGACTTCTCCATTCTAGTTCTTGTTTTACTACACAACTGTATAATCCATGACAAAAAAAAAACTATTTATCCTAATACTAATACATCTTTCACTCCGTCCACACATTTTCCTCTTTGGAAACACTGTTAAATGAAAAAATCTAAAAAATCTGAACATTTGCGCTTTTGTTCTTCATCCTTCCACCAAAGAACTGATGGTAACTTTGATCTGTTGATCAGTTTGATTCTAATGCTGTCTCTTAAAAATTCTTCCAGAGGCCATTAACTGCATCTGGACCTTGTCTTTCAATGATGAAAATAAGAAGAAAATGGTACAAGTATCTCATCTTGTGGAGAAGGTCTACAACTCATATAGGAACTCAACAGATGCCAGCAAGCAGGCCTTTCAGGGTGTACTTTGGTCTCTAAGAGATGAACTTTTAAAATCTGAACATTTCAAGAGTATAGGTGAGTTATGAAATGTTTTGATGTAAGGAAAAAAGAAATCAACTTGCTCTTCAAGTCTTATGTTTTGATCCTTTTTGTCTTTTAGTGGGGAGTGCTGATGTGTGGTTTTGGGATGGTGTGTGTTCATTATATGGTGTGTGGTCATGTGATGGTGTGTGGTCATGTGACACTTGTTGCCTGGACAGGACTCCATAAATAATAAGAACTTACCTATTTGATGCCTCCAATCAGCCAAACTGTGTATTGAAACTTTAGTTCTGATGGCTGTCCGGTATTTAAAAAAAAAAAAAATTGTATATTATTTTGGGTGATAATTCTGATGGCTGCCTGGTATTTTAAAATCATTTTGTATATTATTTTGGGTGATAAGTCTGATGGCTTCCTGGTCTTATTCTTTAGTTCTGATGACTGTCCGGTATTTAAAAAAAAAAAAAATTGTATATTATTTTGGGTGATAATTCTGATGGCTGCCTGGTATTTTAAAATCATTTTGTATATTATTTTGGGTGATAAGTCTGATGGCTGCCTGGTCTTATTATAAACCTTTCATCTACTAATCAGGAGAAGAAATCACCAATGTCAAGAGTGATGCAAAACCCAAGCCATCTGTCTTAATTACAGCACCAGAAACTGCAATATTCCAAGGTTTGTCACAAAGTTTGATCAAACTTATTTGAATGCTTATAAAGTCTGGACTCTGTTGACATTTCCTCAATTATAATTTTGATGTCATTAAGGAGTTAGATTAGAATTTCATTAATGGATTGATTATTGACTCTTGTAGAGATATCTGCTTTAATTCACTAACATCATCCAGATATATGTTTTTGAGTCATGTATAATGCCTGCTGTACAAAGTCAGGTGGGGTCACTTTATTCTGACTAATTTTAAGGAACAATAAATTCTCAGACAAGGACTTTCAATGCTGAAAATAATATGTACAATAAAATAAAAAACACATTTCCATTTATTTGGAGCTATAAAAACAGCTTATCTTATCTTATTTATTTTGAGTGGATTACACTCAATTACAGATTTTGAAAATGGAATTTAACTTCTGTAATTTATGTCATATGTTAAAGTGGTAATGTTGACATTACAGGACTTAAATGATAAAATGTTTTTAAAACAAATACTTTTCTTAATGGAATCCTTGGAGTAGATCTGTTGGTGTCTTTATAACTTCTCAGAATGCATGACCTGTTATAACTTTTTAAAAAATTTGTGTTTGTTATATGTTTATCAAAGCAGTAGATCATGACACACGTCTTAAACAAGCTCTTTTCACTAAGAATATATGTAACACGTGTTTATAAAAGCAGTAGATCACGACACGTCTTAAAAAAGCTCTTCTCATATAGAATATGTAACATATGTCTTTTTGTCCAGATATAAGATTGCATATGATAAATTATGATTTGTATCTTTACAAAATATACCTGTCCCAGGCCACGTCATGATCAGCTACCAGTGGGCAAACCAAGAGGTCATTAAGAAGATTTGTCAAGAGCTGAGAGCACAGCATGTACCCGTGTGGATAGACATTGACTTCATGGGGGGCTCCACCATACAGGTACAGACTATGAGATGTCATGTTTTTATGTGAGGATATCAGGGTAATGTCTGTGTTTGTCTGCTTCTTGTACACATGGCTTCATTCAGGGTTAGATGAAAGGTTTTATTTTTAACAACATAAAAATAAAACATTTCTGATGTCTCTTAAAGCTATCATAAACTCCATTGTGCAAAGAATGAATAGCATAACATGTCAAAATAGTAACTTATCATTTCAAAATAGTGACATGGCAGAAAAAAAAATTACAGGAAAATAAGACAATAAAGTCACAGTGATGTTGGTCTGTTTTCACTCTCTAAAAACTTTCATTCTCTAATGTTATGTAGGCCATGGCAAAGGCAGTGGAAGATTCCTGCATTGTTATCATGGCCATGTCTCAGTTGTACAAGGACAGCCCCAACACAAGAGCAGGTATGTTGAACTACAGCATCCATCAGTATGTTGGTGCTTGAAAAATTGTACAGTCTTATATATGTGCATGGTAAATTAATTCAGTTTCAATTTTCAGGCTAGAGGAGATAAGATAAGATTTTTTTATTGATTAAAATAAATGGACATGTTTTTTTTTTTTTACATTGTACATATTCATTTTCAGCACTTAGATAAATGTTCTCACAAAGACAAACAATGTTTAATTAGAAAAATTTAAACACAAGACATCTAAAAGCTAAATTATTTGTCAAGCGCAAAAGTCAGCCACCATATGCCTTGAAACTTCACTTCCTTGGTGACAATGTTGACATTAAGAGTAGAGCACATTGGTAAATTCTGATTAATTGGAGAAAAAAATTTTAAAATCTTTTGGTCCTAACTCTGAGGGAAAGAATTCACCATGACCGATGTATCTGTGATGAAGAGGGTGTGATGTATCCTCCAAAATATATTTAGTTTTACAAATTTAATGCATTTTCCTTCAAATAACTCTTGAAGCGCATGTAGTTTTGTTTGTTTCATAAGTCTATTTAATCAATATTTGATGAGAAAAGATGAGTTACCACACCATCAAGTAATGCTAAAGTTCAGCAGGCGTCCAATTGTTGCAATGTAGAATCATCATAAGGATTTGTTAGTTGAATGAAGACATCGTACAACTTTTAAATGTAGAAAAGTCTTTGGTTGCCTTTGTTTTTTTCAATACGGTATTAGGCTGTGGTCATGCCACCTAAGCTTTTTATTGATGGTGAGAACTAGGTACTTATCTCCACTTGCTCTATACTGGGATTTTTGTTGTTGTTGGAACTAAACAGCCGAAGAAAATTTTTTTGACACCAATGGATAAAGCTTGTAACTTTGTTTCAGTATGAAATATCCCCTTCAGATATTAAGCCAATGATGGTGTTATCATCATCAAATCTAATGATTGCAAAGGTGTCACTGTGTCTCTGGAAGTCATTGGTATATTTTGTGTACAGTGTACACAAGGTGTACAGGACAGGGGAGAGAACATAACCTTGTGTCACCCCGCTACTTACTTCTCTAGTTAATAGTTAATGATATACCTTCATTCGCTTTGCCTTTTTGTGGACAATTTGCTAAAAAGAAAGTTCAGAATTCATGATTGAGTTTTTGAATTTAAATTTATAAAGAACACTTTTTAATCATAAGGTGTGGTTGGATAGTGCTAAATGCTGATAAAACATCTAAGAAAAGTGAGAAGATACAGTTCTAGACAACTACAAAGATGATTTAAAAAAGTGTCTTTAAATTTTACATTATATCTTATGTTATTTCTCCCATTTTTAAAATACATACCATTTAACATAAATTTTTTTTTAAAAATCAATAAAAGACACCAGCTTTGAAGAGTATTTTATGAATTAAAATCTTGCATACAATAGCTTGACAATGCTATTTTTGGAAAAATCCAACAAAATTGATGAAGCTGTTTCATTTTGTGAGAACTGCAGCATATCTTGTTTGAGACATGTTCACCCTGATTTAAATTATTTTTTGGCAGCATTCAAAATAAACACACCCTGAGTCACTACTACAAAGTAAACTAGGTCACTACTTAGAAGTACACACTTAGTCACTACTAGAATGTACACTAGGTCACTACTTAGAAGTACACACTTAGTCACTACTAGAATGTACACAAGGTCACTACTTAGAAGTACACACCGAGTCACTACTAGAGTGTACACTAGGTCACTACTTAGAAGTAAACACTTAGTCACTACTAGAATGTACACTAGGTCACTACTTAGAAGTACACACTTAGTCACTACTAGAATGTACACTAGGTCACTACTTAGAAGTACACACTTAGTCACTACTAGAATGTACACTAGGTCACTACTTAGAAGTTCACACCCAGTCACTACTAGAGTGTACACTAGGTCACTACTTAGAAGTACACACCGAGTCACTACTAGAATGTACACTAGGTCACTACTTAGAAGTTCACACCCAGTCACTACTAGAATGTACACTAGGTCACTACTTAGAAGTACACACTGAGTCACTACTAGAATGTACACAAGGTCACTACTTAGAAGTACACACAGAGTCACTGCTAGAATGTACACTAGGTCACTACTTAGAAGTACACACCGAGTCACTACTAGAATGTACACTAGGTCACTACTTAGAAGTAAACACCGAGTCACTACTAGAATGTACACTAGGTCACTACTTAGAAGTAAACACAGAGTAACTACTAGAATGTACACTAGGTCACTACTTAGAAGTTTAAGGTGTGTGTAATTTTGTTTATCTGGAAAAACTTTGGAAATAACATTTTTATCTTGACCTTTTGAAGTAAAATGTTTTCATATTAAACATTGACTTTAAATCTGTTGACAGATAAATAAATAAATATAGCTGTGTAACCTTTCTATAAATTTGTCAAATTTCTTATTCATCCGCAGAGGCAGAGTACGCTTTCAAACGCCGCAAGAAGATAATCCCACTGATCATGCAGAGAGGATATCAGCCTGATGGCTGGCTGGGTCTCCTCCTGGGTACCAAGATGTACTACGACTTCAGTGGCAAGTACCCATTCAAGGCATCCATGGGTGGTCTTATTAAAGCTGTCATGCAGTTTGCTGATGTGGATTCCACAGACGGTGTAGAGCAGGTAGGATGACAAGTCTTTGATTGTCTGGTTGCCTGCCTTTGAGCAGGAAAAATAAAGAAATCAGACATATTTTACTCACGCTAAGGCAAGCTGATCTCTTAAACCAGTGGTTTCCAGCCTGCACTGAGTTCACATCTCAGGGTCTCCCCACGGCCATCACAAGAAATAATACAATTAACTTGAAGTTGATAATAAATAGGAATCCATGAGAAAAAACCTTTGGAAACCACTGCTCTGAACATCCACTATTGAAATGAACCTTTTAGGAATATTTACTCACTAAAAATATTAACTTCCCATGCTAAATTTTTTTTTTTTAAGTTTAATATAATCATCATTGTTCTGATGTTTTTCATGCTGAAGATGAACACCAATGATTCTCACACTCTTGATATTTGCCATTAGTAAGAAGTTTTAACATTTTATTCATTAGCCCCTCATACCATCCAAAAATGGCTCCTTGTTTGCTCAACCTCCAACAAGTCTGCCACCCATGACCCCAACCTACCAGCGAGCTGACCACATGAAACCCAAGGCTGATGTGGAGCGTATAAAAAGTTGGTCCAGAGAAGACGTGTCCCAGTGGCTGACAAAATACAGTTTACAAAAGTATGCAGCTGTAATTGTTCTTTGCTTCTACAGTTGTTTAAAAAAAAAAAAAGACAAAGACACTTTTATCATTCATTGGATTCTGCTGGGGTGTATTCCTAAATGTTCATGATGGTAATGTTTACCATCCCTCACTAGTGTGACACTAGGGTAAATGGGCTCAAGACTTGCTCATAGTGGTTCAGTCTATTCATTTGTATACCATATATAAACCTAACCAGGGGTCCGCATTTTGAATAAAAGGTATTTAACTCTAACACTGGTACTAATGGGGTCAGTCCATTGACATATAAGGTATTTAACTCTAACACTGGTACTAATGGGGTCAGTCCATTCACATATAAGGTATTTAACTCTAACACTGGTACTAATGGGGTCAGTCCATTCACATATAAGGTATTTAACTCTAACACTGGTACTAATGGGGTCAGTCCATTCACATATAAGGTATGTAACTCTAACACTGGTACTAATGGGGTCAGTCCATTCACATATAAGGTATTTAACTTTAACACTGGTACTAATGGGGTCAGTCCATTCACATATAAGGTATTTAACTCTAACACTGGTACTAATGGGGTCAGTCCATTCACATATTGTTTCAGTCTAGTCATTTGTGTACTTTATATGAATAGAAGCAGAAACTGGCCCACATCTTGAATAATGATGGTATTACAACTGGTTGTTTTGTAACCCTAGTGCCTTATCCTATTGAAGATGGAATCAGTGGCCTTTTTATATATGGGGCGAAATGTACTTAACCATTGATCAGTCATGTACCTAACCAGTGTTCAGTCATGTACCTAACCTAACCAGTGATCAGTCATGTCCTTAGCCAGTGATCAGTCACGTACCTAACCTAACCAGTGATCAGTCATGTACTTAACCAGTGATCAGTCACGTACCTAACCTACCCAGTGATCAGTCATGTACTTAACAAGTGATCAAATCATGTACCTAACCCAACCAGTGATCAGTCATGTACTAAACCAGTCATCGGTCATGTATTTCACCATCACCAGTGATCAGTCATGTACTTAAAAAGTGATCAGTCATGTACTCAGTGGTGGTGGTAAAAGTAGACAAGATGAACCTTTGACTGCTCTATTACCTCAACACATCAGCCATTTGTTGGTTTCTTTTAAAAATGAACCCATTGTACACTATGAAATTGGCACTGTTTTTGCTTTGAGGTTTTTTCATTATCTAAAGTCTAAAAAAATTTGTCTGACTATTTATTGTCAAAAACATGTCTTCCCTGATTGAAGCTTTTGATAATTAATATAGTATCACTAAGTTTCCTTGTAGCGGTAAATGTAAAAAAAAAAAAAAAAAACAATAAATAATAAGAGAGTTAATGACAGTTGTTTTTTCTCGTAGCTCCAGATTGTACGACACGGTGACATGAACATGGGCGTGGGTGTCGCCATGTTCCCACTCCCCTTTGATTACGTCACACTATCACCGAGGTACTAAAAAAAAAAAAAAAAACAATAAATAATAAGAGAGTTAATGACAGTTGTTTTTTCTCGTAGCTCCAGAATGCTGCAGTTGAGAAGTCAAGAGATTATTTTCTTGTACAACTTAAAGTATGAGGTGAGTAAGACCGAGGTGGGTGGAACGAATTCATTCTGTTCAGTTCAAATTGTGTGCTGTTACATTGTAACAGAGCTTCAGTTTTAAAAAAGGGTACAGTTACACCGTAAAAAAGATTCAGTTTAAATTGTGTGCATTTACACAGACTGTAATAAAGATTCAGTTTAAATTGTGTACATTTACACAGACTGTAATAAAGATTCAGTTTAAATTGTGTACAGTTACACCATAATAAAGATTCAGTTTAAAAAAAAAGCGTGCAGTTATATTGTATAAAAATAAAGGAGTCCATATTTTACTATTAAAAAAAATTACAATTTTTATAAGTGGATATTTGAGTTTACATCAGTTCACTAAAAATGTTTTTTCAAATCTGTAATGTTGTTCGGTGAAGTCAAATTTTTTTTTAGGTCATAGCCAATCAGTGATTTATGGGAAAAGAATTGTCAATGTTTCAAACGACTTGGCTTTCTGTTTTGGATAAATAAAATATGCCATAAGTTCTAAACATACGCTGTGTTGCAACTAATTTTATTCTTTATATTGATTCATCAACTGCAGGCCCCGGAATTTTTTTATCATTGTCTCGAGTCCAAGCTGAACTTGATAACACTGCATGATCTGGCCAGTGCGTCTGAAGCTTTCATGGATCTGACAATGATCTGACAATGATCTGACAATGATCTGGCAATGAGTCTAAGCTGCACTTGATAACCCTGCATGATCTTGGCAATGCATCTGAAGCATCTTTCATGGAACAGGCAGTGATCTGACAAATTCAACTAACATGCTGTCTGGGACCAGTATTTTTCACAACAATTAACAAATCTATCGTTAGTCTTTTTCTCAAATGACTGAACAAAAAACTAGACCATAATGTTTATGGCAGGCTGTGTTGAAATCTCCTTTGGAAGATTTAAATTTGATTTAAATTTGACTTATTTTTACTTTTACAAAAATGGGATCTCTTCATCCTCATCTCATTCATAAATTACTGTTTAAACAAATTGTTTCACCCTCATCTCATTCATAAATTACTGTTTTCACAAATTGTTTCATCCTCATCTAATTTATGAAGTACTCTTAAAGCAAATTGTTTTTTAAAAAGCAACATGAGTTAATGTCAGAACAATGTGTGTTCAGATTATTATTTTTTTTAATAATCCTTTATATATTACTTTGTAACATTTTAATAATATTAAGATGACGTCATTTTTAAATGTCCAATGTCCATATCTGTGGGACTGAGAGGAAAACAATTAACTCACTTTACTTTGATATTGTATTACTTTCAAAATAGAATTTTTATCTTTAATCTATCTCATCGACACTAAGGCCCTTGGTCTACATAATAATTGTAAGCTTCCATTTTGACCAATCTCAGGTTTTTCACCTGTCGGCAATGTTCTTCTAGCTTTGCTGTGTTACATTCGCTAGAAATCGAGGCACTTTGATTGAGCAAGTCATCTTGATGTTTTGATAATGCTAGTTTAAATCTTTGTTAAGCCTGTCTTATGCACAGTTTGCACGGAGCTTATTATTTCTCATTACTGTAATGACATTAATGACATATCAGTCTTAAGAGCTTACCAATTTTTTATTACTGTAATGACATTAGTGACATATCAATCTTGTTGTTGTTGTTTTATTGATATTTTTTAATGCAGAAATAAAATATTGTATTTTTTATTTTAAATACTCTTTTAAAAATTGATTTTTATGACAAGACTTTGAAAGTCTGAATGACTTTGTGTTATGTATTATGAATTCAATTTTTGTAACTGCCAGTTTAAGCTGAGATGATTTTTTTTTTGTGAGGAGGTATGTACGTTTGTCATATCACCTGTGCAAGGTTACCTGTAACATATTCTGTTTATTGTAGCCAGGTTGTTTCAGGTATCATCATTTGTCCAAGGTTACATGTAACATTGTTTACTGTAACCAGGTTGTGTCACAGATATCACATACTAATGCATGTTAAAATTTCAATCTTAATGTTAGCATTATATGTGGCCAAGCTGATCATAACAAACAACTGTGATAGAGTCTTGAAATAAGAGGAGGGGGTGGGGGAAGGTGACTGACTGATGTAAACAATCTTAGTTCAAACATCATTCACAAATAATTTGACATTTATGTCTTCTTGGAGCTTTTCTTTCCAGGTTTTTACACTTCTTGCTATCTTCTCAGTCTCTCTGGTTCATCCTCTCACTCTGACTGGTTCATTCTCTCCATCTCTCCAATCCATTCTCTCACTCTCTCTCTCTCTCTCTGGTCTATTCTCTCACCCTCTGTGGTCCATTCTCCATGTGTTTCGTGGCCTTCCTCTATTTCTGCTACCCTTGGTATTCCATGGCAGTGACTGTGATTTAATATTGTATTTTATGCTTAAAGCAAGTTGTTGCTTAGCTCACCAGTGATTTGATGTCGGCTAATTTTCACAAGCCTCCATTAGCAGAAACTCATGCAATATCATGCCAATTTTGGGTTTCTATATTTCGTTTGTTTTTTACATCTTAGATTCCTTCCAAAGTTTGATTATTGTTCAAATGCATTTGAGAAGAATGGCAGCAGTTGCAATAATCAGATCCTCTTGACTCGTTAATCCATCGGCCATGACAATGAACTCTTTCAAGTAAGGCTGTGATCAAATGATATATTGTGTAAAAATATAGATCTCAATTTTAAACATTGTTTGTTACAATCAAAGGTTTCAAAGTGTGGCTGATACTTGATACTTACTATCATATCAAAATATAGATCTCAGTTATAAACATTGGTTATGATAATAAAAGATTTCAAATACGGCTGATACTTAATATCCTATTAAAATATAGATCTCAATTATGAAAATGTACTATAAATAAATACTTCTTTTTAAAAAAAAAACTTATACATATATGACATAATAAAGGGTCTTTAAGGAATTATACACATTTGTATTATTCTCTATTATAAAAAAAAGATGATATTTTATAATTACTTTTCTTTTATATTTACATTCTTTTTTTTCGTTCCTTTTAATACTAAAATAAGTTAAATTTTTTATGTTTATGCAGTTACAAAGCATTGATTTTTTTCTATTTATCTATTTCTTTCCTTTTATATAAAATTTAATATTTTTGTTTCTAAAGCAATGACATGTCATTGTTCCAATGTTATAATTTTAAGACATGGTTGTTTCTTGTCAATTTAAATTGTTTCAATGAATACTTATTTTTTTCCCTTAAGGTTGAAATCCAATTGATATTTTTTGGAAATGCTCAAGTTTTACGGCAGACATACTTACGACAAAAAATTTGTGAACATTCCTCTCTGTAATAATTTTGTCCTTGCTTTTTCACCGGGGCCTAACTCCGTGAGATGGGTATCTGTACCAATCATTAAATAAGAAATCCCACAGATCTCCTGTGGAAAATAGCTCAGATACCAACCAGCTGGGAATCACAGTTCTTCAGAAAGCATAAAGATGTCTTTCCTTCTCAGCAGTGCTTTCATTCCATCCCAGGAGGGCTACTCATGGGCTGCTGTTTCGATGATTACACCGGGTGTGCGTCAAGAGAAGAGTTACACGTGTAACCCTTTATTTCCCCACATTAAACGTCTTTGTTAGACTGGCAAAGGGAAAACTAATTTCCGCAAGAAGAACTTTTTCTCAGGTTTCTATAATGGGATAGAAAATGATGAGGATTCAAAAGAAGCGAGGCCCCCAAGTCTATAATATGATGATATATTTTATGGACCGATATCTTTTGTTACACAAATATTCCATTTCATTTTGTTGTGGTTATTGCTTCAGACATCATCTTCTGAGCTTTTATTAGAGCTTTTTTGCTGCTTATTATTTGTATATTTTTGAATACAAAACTTTATTATCAACATCTGTGATGTTTTTTTTGTTTTTTTTTAATTAAAAAAAGGAAACTATATTGTGTCTTGAAAAACAGTTAATAGATTTCATTTTGTACATTTATGGAAGTGTTTGGAATCCTGTTGAATAGGTGCATGTTTTGGTCACTGATCATCCCATCTTACTTCCACCCCCATCCCATCTTTGTCTATGAAAATGACAACGAAAGGGCACTGTATGTATGTATATATATATATGTGTGTGTGTATATATATTTATATATATATATATATATATATATACATATATATATATATATATATATATATATATAAACAGCAGTCTTCTACCTTGGGTGCTGACATTGTTTAAATATGCGATGAGAATATCAATTTATTATACATGTTCTACTGTATGTTTTTTTGGTTATATTTACCATTACCATACGGTTTGTTCCAGAACGTGTATGGTTAGTGTGTGTGTGTTTGTGTCAGTCTGTTTGTGTGTTAAGCATAAAAATTTTTTGAAAAGTTTAGCATCGGATTGGGTTAGCTGCAATACAGTCTAAAAATTTAATAAAAACCACACCCACACACAGGCCAATTCTATAAAATGTGTTCACATTCACAAATCATTGCGTCATTGGAAACCAGTGGAGTCAGTGGAGTGGGTAGAGTTTGTGACTCACCTGGTATGTTCCTTGATTTTGACCCCCCCCCCACCCCTCCACCCAATTAACAAAAATCACAAGGCATTCCACCCTTTAAAAATAATATGAATAATTCCTGCCCCTTCTTCCTACGCTCCTAGTAGTCCCCGACTAGGACCTGCAAAGGCCGCTAGGAAGTCGAAAATTTGCCCCCCACCCCCACTCGTGGCGTACATGGGAAGGTGGAAATGGGTTTTACACACAGGCCTTACATATAAATTGACGTGTCTGTTAATTAGTCTCATTTTTGGGAGTACGCCCCTGGCAGCATTTCTTTAATATACGCCACTGCCACTAATTTTTTTTCTTCTTAGTTCCAGTCCACCATTGTGTCACATATCACGTGTAAGAAATGAAAGTCTGTTTCTTTCAGAATTTTGTCAATGAGTACATTTCTACTCGATTCCTTCATGCTTTCATCAAAACCCGAAGTCTATCACCCTCCCTCCGACCCCCCCCCCCTCAAATGACGATTACCTATGTCCTTTATTTCACCCCCCTCTCCCGCTTTTTTCCCTAATTCTATGACTTGTTATGTATGGAGTTACCCTAGATGCCACTCAATGTTGAACATTACCTCTGTACTAGTACAAGTACGTTCAATATCAAATCAAGTTCCCTCCCCCATAAAAACTGGAACCCTTGTCACAGGGCCATAAAGGCGCGAGGCCCCTAAAAGGCGCGAGGCCCCTAAATGGCGAAATGCCCCTAAAAGAAGCAGGGCCCTTAAAAGACGTTAGACCCCTAAAATGTGCGGGGCCCCTAACAGACATGAGGCCCGAAATATGTGTAGGGCCCCTAAAAGGGATGGGGCCCTTGAACGATGTGGAGCCTTTAGGCCCTTGTCTCATTTGCCGTCACGTTAATTGTTAAACTGGCCCTTGGGTATAGTAAAAAAAACCGCACATTTTTTCGATAATGCTCTAAACATCTGTATCGTATTGATGGACGTATTGTGCTCTAAGTGTGGCCTTGAGGAATGAGCAATGACAGCTATCATGGCTTATGTCTGGGTTTTGGGGTTCGGCGTCTTTGTTGACGCCTACTTCATGTTTTGAAAGTAAATCGCAATGTTGGTAAACACGTGTGATTGATGAAACATTGTCATCGCCGTCGTGTGTTGATAACGGACGGACTTTGATCACCGTATCGTGTGCTCAAGTACGAAAGAGCCACCAGGGGAGTCAACCTAATGAAACTAACGGTTGTTAGTGGTTGGGGCGAAAAAAAAAAAGACAAAAAGAGTCATCAATACT